TGGTTTTGGTTTGGTGTTTTTGGTTTATGTTTGTGGATTTTTCTCCTCAGCGATGGTCTGATTAACAAGACTTTAGAGGAAAGGTTGTGCAGCATGTGAACATTATTTGTTTTGGTTGTCACCAGTAACAATAGCCATGATATGTGATAAAAGGGTGGTTGGTTATAGCGAAATTGAGATGTTCACTGGCGTATAACTTTGTTTCAGATCTGTGTTCTATCGCTCATACAAAGAGCAAGAGTCTAAAAAAGGGTATGACCAAGAGGAGGTTTTTGAAAAGCCTACACGTGAAACTTGCCAAGGTAAGATACAGGAGTATTTGAAGACTTGAGTTTTTTAATTAATTTTTTGTGGGTAAGGTTGTTAATGTTGTTGAACTGATTCAGTCTTTATTTTGGGACATAGAATAGAATAGCAGAAATGTCTGTATTAATAGCAAAATACATCAGTTGAGATACTGACGTAAAATTAAACACTAGTCTGAAGTTGCAGGCAGACTCGTTGAATTTCTACAGAACATCAACGTCAATAGGTTGAAAAATTTGGGAGTGTACTTTTTTCTTTTTTCCCCAAGGTATGAGACATGCAATCTATGACAAACTTGATGATGACGGTTTGATAGCACCTGGGGTACGTGTATCTGGGGATGATGTCATCATTGGCAAAACAGTAACTCTGCCAGAAAACGAAGACGAACTGGAAAGCACCAACAGGCGTTTCACAAAGAGAGACTGCAGCACTTTTCTGCGCACCAGCGAGACCGGTATTGTCGATCAGGTCATGGTAACCCTTAACCAGGAAGGATACAAGTTCTGCAAGATTAGGGTGAGCACTGACATGTCTGCTTTCTACTTTTAATGATTTTTGTTCTGTATTTAAGTTGCCAGTTGAATATTTTCCTATGGCTTACAGGTGCGCTCTGTAAGAATCCCACAAATTGGAGATAAATTTGCCAGCAGACACGGTCAGAAAGGAACCTGTGGTATCCAGTACAGGCAGGAGGTAGTGATTTTTTTTTTGTTTTGGTTCCTTCTTAACATTTTATCTCTGATCTTCTTCCTATTGGAACTGTCTTATGTGAGTTGTCTGTGGAGTATCTACTAGGGTGCAATATATTGACTTAAATTTAGCTAAAATACGTTAAGAAAGGTACACAGCTTCTTCTTATGTGCTACTTCAGTACCTTTGAAATGCTTCAAAAGATTTAACTTGCATCTATGGAACTACTTAAAGCTGATATTGTGGGGGAAGTACTGACTGTCTGTTTCCCTGTTCTAGGATATGCCCTTCACCTGTGAAGGCATCACACCTGATATAATTATCAACCCCCATGCTATTCCTTCCCGTATGACCATTGGTCACTTGATTGAGTGTCTTCAGGGGAAGGTAAGAAGAATCTTTCATGCTGCATGTCTGAGCAATATGAATTAAAATGGTTTTATTCTGCCCTTTCTTCCCCCCCCCCTTTTCTTTTTTTCTTCTTGTTTGTTTTTGTCAAAAATCCCACCCTGGTAGGTCTTAATCCACTAAAAAATGAGGATTGTTCTCCAGTTAGTTGATAGCAAAAGCAGGTCTCTTGGGGAAGACTACAGTCCTGTAAATTTTGTCTAGCAAGTCAGACTACAATGTACTCTCTCATGTCTTGTTTCTATTCCAAACATTTCCTGTGTCCTACAAAAAGGAGTAGCAAAATTGTTGATACTGTGTATTTTTAAAAATCTGACCATAAATTGTGTAGCTGATGATAAACAAAGCAACACAGGGTACGATCATGGGCATGGAAACTCGGGTTCTGGCCTTAAGAGTTAAAACTGTTTGAAATAGCTTAATGTTGTCGGACCAGTTCTTCAGAAATCCTACAAGGTTTTGCAAATCTCTTCTCTGCAGGTGTCTGCAAACAAGGGAGAAATTGGTGATGCTACACCTTTTAATGATGCTGTCAATGTGCAAAAGATTTCCAATCTCTTATCAGATTATGGCTATCATCTAAGAGGAAATGAGGTATAATCAAAATATAACCAAGTCCATTTTTTTTTTACTATACATTTGATGGATAGTAAGGCTTATGATTCAGTGATTGCATTGACTGCTTCAGGTCCTCTACAATGGCTTCACTGGTCGAAAAATCACGTCACAGATCTTCATTGGTCCTACATATTACCAGCGGTTGAAGCACATGGTAGATGACAAAATCCATTCTCGTGCAAGAGGGCCAATCCAGATACTTAACAGACAGCCCATGGAAGGCAGATCTCGGTAAGGATGTTTATTAGTTTCTATACAGTGTTTTCTTTTTCTTTTGAAGTTTTTAGCCCTAAAAATTAGCTGCCTTAACTTTGCAGCTAGAACTTAGCTCACCCCAGTTAGCCACCCATTTTCATGTGTTTGGCTTAAGATGATGTACTGGGTCCAGGTGTCAAGGTTTTGGTAGCAGAGGACACTGCTGGGATGACCTCTCTGAGAAAGGACTGGGGATTGCCCTGTGGTGGACACAGCCGCTTACAGCTGGCTCCAATAGGCCTGCTGCTGCTGGACAAAGCACCACCCCACTAGTGGTTCCTCTGTGATAACATATTTAAGAAAGGGTGAAAAATGCTGTGCAGCAGCTGTGAGAGAGGAGTGAGAAAATATGAGAAGAACAGCCCTGCAGACACCCAGGTCAGAGGAGGGGGAAGAGGTGCTCTGGGTGCTGGAGAGATCTGTGGAGGACCAGGGTGTAGCAGATATCCACACTGCAGCCTGTGGAAGGCCCATGTTGGAGCAGGCTCCTGGCAGGAGCTGTGACCCATGAGGGACCCACGCTGCAGCAGTGCTTCTGAAGGATTGCATCCTGTGGGAGGGACCCATGCTGGAGCAGTTTGTGAAGGACTATCCCATGGGAGAGACCCCACGCTGGAGCAGGATGTTGGAGCAGGCTCCTGGCAGGAGCTGTGACCCATGAGGGACCCACGCTGCAGCAGTGCTTCTGAAGGATTGCATCCTGTGGGAGGGACCCATGCTGGAGCAGTTTGTGAAGGACTATCCCATGGGAGAGACCCCACGCTGGAGCAGGGAAAAAGCGTAAGGAGGAAGGAGTAGCAGAGAGGAACTGTCAGGAACACCGACCGCAACTCCCATCCCCCGGTCTCATGGAGAGGGGAGGAAGGAGTTGGGCATGTAGGAGTGAAGTTGAGCCTGGGAAGAAGGTGGATAAGGTGTTTTTAGTTTTGTTTTTGTTTCTCACCATCCTACTCCATTTTTAATGGGCAATAAATTAAACTACTTCTCCCCATGCTGACTGTTTTGCCTGTGATGGCAATCAGTAAGTGATCTCCCTGTTTTTATCTTGACCTATGAGCTTTTCCATCTTATTTTTCTCTCCCTGTCCTGTCAGTGTGGGGGAGCAAGAGAGCTGCTGGGTGGGCATCTAGCAGCCAGCCATGGTTAAACTCACCACAGATAAGTAGAGAATGATTTACTTGTCTGTCTTGTTTTGCTAGATGATTGTGCTGTGGGTGATAGCTGTCTGACATCTGCTTTAGAAGTACTCAGCAGCAGTTACAGAGGATTGTGTTAGGGAGAATGGCTAACAGTTTTACTCTGAGGTGTTTGAGGAAAATTAATGCACAGCTTTACTCCTGCCTTGTAATACTGCTGTTGTGTTTCTGCCAACAAGGACTGATATATTTTGCCAGCGAACTCAAAAGCTGAGGGTGTTTTTTTGTTTTCCTTTTTTCAGTGATGGTGGCCTTCGTTTTGGAGAAATGGAACGAGATTGCCAGATTGCTCATGGAGCAGCCCAGTTCTTGAGAGAGAGATTGTTTGAAGCTTCAGACCCATATCAAGTCCATGTCTGTAACCTCTGTGGAATCATGGCGATTGCAAACACGAGGACTCACACCTATGAATG